GAGGAAGAGGTGTTGGGGCTCATTTGTGTCCTTTTTTGAGGACAAATGGTTGGGTGAGTTATCCCTCACCCAACCCTCACCTTGCAGCACCCTTACATTCCTGGCAAAACCCAGCAGAAGCGTGGGTGGCTGCCCTGGGGAAGGACAGCCCCAGGCAGCAGGACGTGCCCAGAGCAGTTTGTCAGACAAAGACCCCGGTGGAACGCGCAGGGCACCTGGGCTGCCCTGGCCACAGCGCCAGGAGGGGATCCTGCCCCTCACTGCAGCACCACAGCCGAGTGCTGTGCCCAGCCACAGAGACACGGACACACTGGGGAGGCCACAGAGCAGCCCTGAACCTGACAAAGGGACTGTGAGGAAAGGCCACGAGTGCTGGTACTGCTCAGTCTGGAGAAGGCTCGTTAATGGATATAAATTCCTGATGGAACCGTGCAAAGGGGATGGATCCAGGCTCCTTTCAGTGTGCCCAGTGACAGGATCTGATGCCACAGGCACAAACTGAAGCACGAGAGGTTCCCTTGGCACACCAACAAATAGTGTTTTACGGTGGGGCTGACAGGTTGCCCAGACAGGTTGCAGAGTCTCCCAGCTTGGAGATATTGAAAGGCTGTCTGGACACGGTCCTGGGCAACCAGTTCTGCTTGATGACCTCCAGAGAGCCCTTCCAACCTCAACCATTGTATGAGTCACTGCTTTTTCTTACTGCTTGCAAGGAGTTTTCTTTATTGACTATCTATTTCCCTTGTTAGCTTTTATATTCTTTGGAAACCTGGCTGGGAGCCATTTTCAAAACACTGAAATGCAATATGCTGACCAGCCCACTTTTATTCACATGACCTATAAAAGAATTCTAATCCTAATAAAACAGGGACACAATGGAGAACAGAATAAGAACATAACAGACCCATGGGGCACATGTGTTTGTCTCTACAGAACACACGGTGTGGCAGTGCCACACTTACACATCAAGTCTTCAAACAAAAAACAGGACTCCACTAATTATAACTTTGTGTGCAATTTACATTGTTACAGATATTAACAGGTGAGGATGGCTGCAGCACTTGACAGAAGCATTCAGTCAGAAAATAAAATTTGACGGAGTTATGAAGAGCTGGACAGAAGACATTACAGAACACAGTATCAGTCAGTACTGGCTTTTGATCACACTGCAGCCAGTGCTGGCCACATCTCTAAAAGCATCCAGCAGAATTATAACCATGCAGATATAGAAAGACTCCATACAAAGTAATCCTCTTATGGAGAGGAGCTGAGGCAGAGTGCCTGTTTATATTGCAGAGGAGGGGGAAAATATAAAGAATAAAAATTGTCACTGTGATGAAAGGAACACATTATCTTGTAACAAAAGAACTTGAGGATCACCAACAAAAATGGAGGACTAAGTTCAAAATGAATTAAATGTTTTTCATGTAAGATAGGCAGCCTGGGGCACTAACTGACGTAGGACTTGCCAAGAGACACTGAAGATGCAAAAAGCAGTAAGTAGATAAGAAGCATCCAGTTTTCTCAAGTTTGTAAACCACTTGGCAAAGCCTGTATGTGCCAAATGTCCATAAGACACACGCCACCATTTACTGCAGAGGATGGTGGAGACTGAAAGCACCAGACAGTCCAGAGCAAAGCTATGACAGCAGATTCTTCTCAGGTGCCCTGGCTGGTCTGTGCACATCCCAGGCAGATCTAGGCATAGATCTAGATCTGTGCTGCTCTTAGCAGCCCACACTGGTTCACTTCCTTACTAAGATAGGTCTGGACTACCAAGCATGAAAGTGGCACAAGAATTACTTACAAACCACATACAGATACCGTTGGACTAGAGACTTTGGTTCATACAAGAATGTAAAGTATTAAGAGAACGAGCAGAGGGGCACAGACAGCAGGCATGGGGGCATTATTCCTGTTTGCACTTGTCAGACCTCACCTGCGGCCCACAGTACAAGACAAACATGGACCTGTTGCAGCAAGCCCAGAGGAGGCCACAGGGATGCTCTGAGGGCTGAAGCCCCTCTGCTCTGGAGATGGGCTGAGAGAGACAAGAGAGAAGAAAAGGCTCCAGGGAGATTTTCTTGCGGCCTTCCAGTACTTAAAGGAGGCTTGTAGAAAGACAGAGAGAGACCTTTTACCTTTTACCAAGGCCTGTAAGACAGGACAAGGGACAACACTTTAAAACTGCTGTTTTAAAGAGGGCAATTTTAGATTAGACCTAAGGAAGACATCTTTTACAATGAGGGAGGTAAATGCTGGAACACAGCTAGGTGATCTGTGCAGGTCCCTTCCAACCCATACCATTCTATCCCACAGTGAATGAGCTTTGCACTTTCTCCTGCAACTGCTAAGATTGGCTCCTGTCCACATTGAGTGATCAAACTGCCAGCCCATTCAGTTACTGTGTGGTTACCCCTATGATCTCAAGGAACAAACAAGAATAAAACCTCTCAAGTAACCTTCCACTGTGTCCTCTCTCTATCATGAAAATGGAAAGCTTAAAAATCTGCAATTAACATTTTAAAATCATTCCTCACTGGTCTCACAGCTGCAAACACAGCTCTTCTGTTCCATGTAGACACCACCTTTTAACTGGAAATTCTGCCATTGCCATGAATCATAGTATTTGCCAGGGGAAAATGACTTGTTTAATTCTTTAAAATTAATACATTTATAAATTTTCAATGTCATACTTTGTTGAGCCTTGCAATTTCACCAAGCGAAGTCAAATTTCTTTCACATCATAGACTCATAGAACATTAAGGGGTTGGAGTGGGCTAGCAGATGATCCAGTCCCAAGCCCTGTGCCCTGGGCAGGGACAGCTCCCCTGGTCTGACCCAGCTGGCTCTGAGCCCTGCCAGGGGCACCCACAGCCCCCAGTGTCCAACCGCCTTCACAGGAAACATTTCCTCCCAATATCTAACCTGAATTTCCCCTCTTTCAGTCTGTCCCCATTACTCCTTTTCCTGTTACTGCAGTCACTGACAAAGATCCCTCTCCAGCTCCCCTGCAGCCCCTGCAGACCCTTCCACACAACCTTCCTTCTCCAGACTGAACAGCCCCAGCTTTCTCCACAGGGGAGAAAGGGAGCCTGTCTCCAGAGGGGAGCAGCTCATCAAAAGCATACTTGCAAATCAAAGGCCACATGCTGAAAAGGTAAGTTTACATGATTTCCCACTTCAATGCAATAGCTGTGCATATTGCACCTGTAAATATAAAAATATATAACTGGTAAATTGTGTTTTCTTCTCTGCATTTAGGATCTTGAAAGGAGCTGAACTACCTTTAAACAAGTAATTTTAAGAAATTTATTCACAGGCAGAGAGTAAGTGTGCCAAATTTGGGGGTAAAAAAGGTAAAAAATACTATGTTGAATAGAATCTTACATTGACATTCTTGGAGCAGGCAAATTCTTCAGTCTAGCTAAGGCCTTCAAGCTAGCTAAGGCTAGTTCTGTTCAGGGAGAAATGCTTTTATCCCTTGCTTTGGGCATTGTTCCAACCAGTACAGAAAACAGAGAAGGCTGCAGGACTCTAAGAGGCCAGAAGGGAAAGGATAGGAAGTTTGTCTCTCAAACTCTGAAACCTGTGAATGCAGAGCTTTTTTAAAAAATTAAAGGAAGACTAAAACAGCTTTCTATAAAATTCATGAGGTTCTTGTCCACAAAATTGCCAGTACAGAAATGACAGTGTCATTGTCACTTCCACATCTACTCAGTGAATATTGGAAACAACTGACAAGGGCATCTCAGGCTGTCAATTCACACCTCACTTGACAACCTCAAGGAACATTCCAGAATGTTAGCCAGTGTTTGCATTATGAAAACACTGTGGAGAGTGTGCACAGTGCAACCTTGTGAGCTAGATGTAAAGGCACATAAATTGTAGATACCTGCTTGGTTCCATGTATCCAGGACATTTCTATATAAATGCAAAGCCTGGATAACTCCCCTGGTATAACACCCGAACTCCTATTCCTTTACAGTTTAAATTAAGAACCATTCAATTCCTCCAGCTGCATCTTTCCAGAAAACATAAACTTTTGGAATGCTGTTCAATCCAAGGAGAGACCACCAAATTCTAGGTGTTAGCCCAAGCACTCTGCTTGGAAACCACAGTGGCAGCACTGCACTGGGCAAGGAGATGGTGCTGGGTGATAAAGAGAACAGAATGTTAACATTAACATCTTAATCAAAAAACGGAAGGAGTTTTCATACATAAGCCCTTCCAATTCCAGTGAGAATTGTTATACCCTAGGCTGTTTATTTCCAAAGCAAAATAGTATGCATTTCTTCTACCACACCATTTCCACTACCAGTGAGGTGACCTGTGTAGGCTGTGAAAGGTGAGAAGTCACCAATGCAGGAGTGGCAAAAACAAAAGTCTCCTGCAGCCTTGCTGTGCACTGGCTGGGAAAACAGACAGGTAGCTACAGGTGGATATTCACAGTGGGAGCAACAAGAAGAATGTAATTAATGGTAGAAAATGAGGATGTGAGTGGCAGATTTGGGCACCTTATCATGGAGATGACCAGTGCCCATCCAGCAACAGCAGGTACTGAAGAAGTCCTCCTAGCTGGGAAGAGCTAATTTAAACCTGCACTGAGAAGCATGGGAACCCCACAGATCAATAACCACCTGACAAGAACTAATCATGTTTACTTGTGGCAAATGGAGTAATGAATTACCACAAAGAATTCCTGCTACTCCTCCCCCTCGGACTCATAGCAACTGCATCCTCCAATGTCACTTCCTCTGAGCCAGTCCACTCTGCCAGACCAGCATCTTCCTGCCAACACCAGCACAAACTATCACACGAGTAATTCGCTATTCAAATGACCAGTTTATGGCAGCAGCAGCAAGCTGGCGTCTTAGCATTTATTTCACAACACACTATTTCCCATATGCCCAAAGGCAAACATTTTCCATCCCCAGTCCAAAGCACAGACATGTCCTTCCTGACTAAAACAGGCCACTTTTCAAAGAGCTAAAACCTACCTGTGTCGGACAGGGCAGCTCAACACCTGGAGTCACATCTGTGTACACCAAGAGGAATCAAGAAACTTATCCTGTGGATGAAGCAGGAGACCAGATATTATGTCATGATGAATTAGCAGGAGATGTTCTCATTGACCTTAAGCAGGAACAGCTCTAAGACAGCAGGCTGAGGATGCATTTGGATCCAGCTCTGAAAAGAGAAAGTACATACTGTGTGAGAGGGAAATAACATACAATAAAAATAACATTCCCTAGAACAGCATAAACCCATGTGACACTTCATAAGCAGCAGAACTTGCGGAAAAAGAGAGGGGGGAGAAGAGCAAGAAGGAGAGGATGAGACTGACATAGCAGTTTGGGACTTGTCTGGAGACTGTGCACATAGGCGCATGGCCAGGCTGCCAGGACAACAGTTCTGCCCAGGCACTGGCCCATCCACGTAGGCTCTTCAGTTTCCCCACAGGACTCACCTTGTATTTGTGGAGTCTGGAAAGAACAGAAAGGTTACAGCTTGCCTATAACCCGTCAACCTATTGAGCAGGCTCTGGTAAGAACCACGGGGTGGGTAGGATTGGAGTGGACCCCTGGAATTTGCCTGTCCCAAGAAGCAAGGGTATTGTCCCACACAGAGGTTCTCAACCTTGGGAAAGCAGGCCAGTCTAAGAATATTAACCAAGTCAGTTTGCTTTCATCCTTAAAAAAAAACAATTCCCTAAAGAACTAAAAATCCACTCCTACCAGAACACTCCAGCATTTTATCAGGCACCATTAGCTGCCCGAGTAGGTTAAGAAGAGTGTGGCAGACTGGAATAATTAATGATCCTACAGATTTAGGGCATAGTCAGGCAGCTTCAGTGTCTGCATGCTATGATAGCTCCCAAAGAAGACAAACCAGGCTAAGAAGGAACAGGGACCTGTTCCATGGGAAGAGCTGAGGCAGCTGCACCTGCACATACAAAGCCCTGCACAGCAGCTCCTGGCAGGTCTGTACTGTAGCTGATGAAGAAAAGCAGCATTAGCAGCAGAACAGGTCTGAGCACCAGCGCACAAAGCATTCTCAAGCATAAGCTCACACCTAGACATGCAAATAGAAACCACTGCTCAAAGAAGGGGTAGGCAAGAAAGGGAAGTATGGGCATTGCAGTGCCAGCCTGGGCAGTGCCAGGCAGCATGAGCAGAGTGGAGAACTCCACCAGGGACAGGACCAGGGCTCTGGATCTACCGGGGTCAAGAAAAGGGAAGAACAAAGGGCAAAAAGAAGATAATGGTGAATTCTGCTGAAACAGAGCTGTAGTCAAGGAAGGACAGAGCCGAGGCAGGCAGGGGCTGAGGCAAACACTGCAGTGCAAGTAGAGGGGAGAGTGCAGGAGGTACAGAGAGGAACGTTACAGCAGCGCTGAGGAGAAGGAGAAGAGCGAAGGCTGAGTGTCCTCACCCTGCCTTAGGGGCAAGGCCAAGCTGCAAGTTCCTCCTCACAGAGAGCTCAGCTCGTTTGGTTGGTGGTGTCCCCGTGGAAAACAGCAGATTGTTCATTGCTTCTGAGACAACACCAAGGAACTGGTTATCTTCAGAAGCTGCAGGACTTCCTTGGATGGGTGGTAGGGTGAAGTCTCCAAGAAGGGCAGTGCTGACGGCACCAGGCAAGGACAGTTAGTGCACACTCTCCCAGATCATGCTAACTGGCGAATGACGTTGCTTGCTCCTCAGTCCCCCATTTAAATTCTACCTCAGTTTCTCCCTGCAGCAACTTGCACACAGGGATCTTCCACAGGCCATGGTGTTGGAGGGAACAGAGAAGAGTTCAGGCTTCAGGGAACAGGAGGGAGGGAAGGAGCAGCAATCTCCAGCAGCAAACTCTTAATGCCAAAGTGAGATGGTTTGCATGTGTGGGAAGTCAGGAGATATTCCAGAAGGCCACGCAGAGCATCAGTCTCCCACAGACACAAATGTGTTAGTCCTGAGCGAGTATCTTGGACCATGTATCTCCCTCTGAAGAAAGAACTGAGAGGCATCTTAGAGGCAGCAAATCAAATACTCTCTCTCAAAAGCTGCCATCTCCTGTGTGAAGGCTGGTTGTTGCTGGAGCACCAGAGACAGCAGTCAGTTAGATGCAGGGCAGCGCTGGGCTGTCACCAGGGACAGGGTGTTAAGAAGAGGACCCTTCTCTCCAGAGGATGGATGGACCATGTCAGGGCAGGATGGACAAATCCAGAAGAGTGATGGTGTCTCCCTCGGTAAAGTCAGTCCCTGCTAAAGGAGACCCTCCCGAGGGGACCTGCAGCCCACGTTCGGGAGCGGTGAACGAGCACCGGGCTCCCCCTTCCTGCCTGCCCTCCGAGCGAGCCGAGCTCCTGCCAGGCAGCGAACCCGGGGCTCGGCAGGGGCCGGCGGGGCCGCACCGCCCAAAGCCGAGTCCGCGGGCGAGGTCAGAGAGCGCGGCAGGGCCAGGCTGCTCCGGCCGCGGCTCCACGAGCGAGCGGCGGCGGAGGAAGGCGGCACCGGAGGGCGGCACCGGCGGCGCAGGGTCCGCCCGGACTCACCAGGCTCCGAGCGGGCGAGCCCTGCGGGCAGAGCCCGGGCGGGAGCAGCAGCGGCGCTGCCCGGGGGCCGTGCCCGGCCCTGGGGCACCGGAGGCGGGGGCGCCCCGCGGCTGCAGGGGGCAGGGGCCCGAGGGGCGCTCACCGTCCCGTCCATGCTCCGCTCCCGCCGCGGCCGTCCGCGTGCGGAGCGCCTGCGCGGCGCTGCGGAGAGCGGCCAGGGACCGTCGGTAAAGTGCATCTCGCCCGCCGCGCCGGGGCTGAGGGTCCTGCACCGGGAGCCCGGCGCCGGCCGCGCCGCTGCGGCGGGAGGGCGGCGCAGCCGCGGCCCCTGCCCCGCTCCCAGCCCCGCGGGGGCGGCGCGGCACGGAGCTCCTCCCGGGGACAGGTGGGTGCGGCGCCCACGCCCTCCCAGCCCCGCGGGCCGCTCCGACTCTGCCGCCTCGACAGAGCTCGAGAGAGGGACGGAGCCGCTTTAGGTGCGCCGCCGCCGCCGGCAGGGTGCCCAGCCCCGCCGCCCCTGCTTCCGCCGCCACAGGCACCCCCTTCTCTGCCCAGCAGCGCCGGAGCCCCCTGACCGTGGGCGCCCCCAGCCCCGCGCCCCGCGCCCCGCACTCACCGCCGCCCCCTGCCGCCCCCGCCGCCGCAGCCCCGGCGCTCTCGCAGCGCTCCGGCCGCCGCCGCAGCCTCCGCGCGCTCCCCAGCGCCGCCTGCCGGCCGCGCTCCGCATCACCCCGGGCCGCGGGGCCCGACGCAGCGCCCCCGCCCCGCCCGGCCCAGCACGGCCTGGCCCAGCACGGCCCGGAGCGCTTCCGACCGCTTCCGAGCGGGGCTCGCGCCCACAGCGACCGGGCCGGGGTTCACCGGGAGGCAATGAAAATTCCAGTGGCGATGGGGACGGGAGCAGCAGGATGAGAAAGCAAACAGGCCAGGGGAGCTCCGAGGCACGTCCAGTCCTTCAAACTCAGAACCGGCCCAGAGCTGCGGTCCGCCATCCGCACGCTTTCCCTTGCAGTCAGGAGCTGGTGGCTCCCGGGAAGGTGGAGATGAGCGTCCTGGGCCTGGCGGGCTACGGGTCTGAGGTACGGTGTCAATTTTAACAGGAAAAGGAAAATTGCTTCTTAAACCCCCAGCGACCAAAACCAAAGCGACGTGCACTTTGACAGAGCGATTAGAAGGAATCTTCAGTGTAACTTGCCAAAGCCCTGCAGCCCATGGGGATGAGGGAAGTTCGGACAGAATGAGCACTGACAACGAATGCTTTGGAGTAATGCTCCAAGGAGCTGTGAGGAAGCGGTGAAAGGGCTGAGCTCCACCTGCAAGGAGCCAAGCAAACCTGACAGCTTCACATGCTCAAAAACAGTGCAAGTCTAAAAGATGAAGTAAAATATTTTAAAGATCACAAGGTGGAATTAAGTCTTAGTGGGTGTTTTTAAGGAGGGACTGTACACATGCATTTGGCTTTTCCACTACATTTTCTGTGTCATATTTTCAAGCTTTTTCCTATGGTTATATGTACCAGCAAAACACTGTTGCAAATGCAAAATGAGCTTCTGTAGTACCTGTCACCAGAAAATTGCCCCCTTTGAGACTCCATGAGCAATGGTTCAGCATGCATGCTGGGGAGATAAGGTAAGTGCCAAGTACATGCAGGGGACAGGGGGGCATGAAAGCATCTGGGATCGTGGGGTTCAGGCCACGACCCCTGGCTTGAGACGAAGCTGGCAGCTGGCACCTGCACATGCTCTGCTGTGCTGTACAGAATATTTCACAAGGCATGTGTGACAAGGCAATGCTCCGAGCCAAACAGAAGACAGCGAGCTCCTATGAAAGGAACTCTTTGTGCTGGAGAATGGAGGAGTATGGGCAAGAATACCTTACTGTAGCTGGGGAAACGTGTTAATGAGAGCATCTTGTCCTCTCGCTGCTCATCTGACCAACAGCAATTCCAGAACTTCTGTGAAGCACTTTAGACCATCTGCAAGACCTGGGTTGCGCTCTCCAGTGTGCTGGGAATTGTCTCTGCAGCACTTTAGGGTGAAGCAGCTTGTGAGCTGTGCCTGAGTGGAGGACCTGCCCACACAGACCTGACCTGCTGCTCAGGTGTGAGCAGAGGGGAGGCCACCCTGGGCACAGCCCCCGAGGGAGACGGACTGCTTGTCCAGGTCACATGGCAGAGGCACAGCATTTATATTCTGGTCTTGGAGAAGACTGATGAACACTCTGATTAGATACAATATCAGAGTTCACAGCATCTGGGTTTGGGTGTTTGTTTTTGGGTTTTTTTGTTTGTTTCATTTTGGTTTGTGGGTTTTTTTTTTTGGTTTTTTTTTTAACATATTAATTTGGGATAGAGTAGCAGCTCTGTCACAGATGAAAAGGTGGAGAATCTATTTTTACCTGTTTCTTGAGGTTAAAAATGCAGCTGGGACCGAAGCGTCTTTGTTCGTTACATATACTACACATCCTTCTGTAGGATCAACACATTATTCCAACAGGATATGTCAGCCAGTCTAAAACATGCAGTGGATGAAATTATCTTCACAACTGAAGACAAGGAAGAAAAATATCCATTGCTGTGGACCCCAAAGAAAATGAAGTATACACAAAAGTAAATACACGCAGTGCATGTTGGGGAAAGCAGACATCACATAAGGGTGCGCATTTCTTCAGGGCTGCAGAATCAAACCTGACCATCATGGTAATTTATCTTCCTGGCCAGTACACGACCCCACTGCAGTACACAGTCTCAGTATCATGATCCCCACATAGGGCATAATTTCTGGCTGAAATAAAGTGCATCCTTTAAAAAAATCTAGTCTTTTGTAGCACAAGAGAAAAAATGGTGGCACAGAGTCAAATCATAAGCACACCTGACTGATTTGCCCTCTCCCTGACACTGTCTGCTTGGAAAAAATTCACTAAAATAGGGTAGACGAAGTGCTCCCTTCCTGGCAGCTCCCCTAATGCTTACAGATTTGTAATTCAGAGACCTGCTGTGCCAGAGGCTTTGGCTTTGGGTTTTAACAGCCTTTGATAGATTTCTCTTTTGCAAATTTCATCCACTGTATAGTGACAGTCATGAAATTTACGGCCATGAAGGACTTACTCTACCCACTTATATTTGACAAGTAATTTCACACTAGCCTCCAGTGATCTCTGTGACACAGACCAAGTAAACTGCAGCACATGGGAAAAGTTACCACTGTAATTCCACTAGCTACTCACTTTCAGCACTGGAAGCATGTGCCTGTTTTCCTTTGGAATTCAATCTGCTGCAGTCATGCCTTATCCCTGGACAACTAAAAACTGCTTTAGTATTCAGTGTTTTCTCTTTGTACACGTACTCACACACCCTGATCAGATCACTCACAAACCTTCTAAGAGTCCACAGACTCATAGGAAGCTTTGGGTTGGGAAGGACTTTCAAGGGCCCTCTAGGGACCCGGCCATGGACAGGGACATTTCCAACTCATAATAAGGTCACTCCAAGTCCTGTCCAACCCAGCCTCGGAGACCTCCATGGATGAGGTTCTTTGGGCAATCTACGCCAGCGCTTTCCAGCCTCATTTTAAAAATGGTCTCTTATCTAGTCTGCATCCACCCTCTTTTATTTTAAAATTAATTTAAAATTTTAAAATTAAACCTAGTTTAAAGTCATTACCCCTTGTCTTTAAAGAGTTCTGCATCTCACATTGTAAAATACTTCTTACAATCTTGAAGTATGTTTTGTGAACCTCAAACATTCTTCTTTGTTCCCTAGAAGCCCTAAAAATAGGCTGTGTACTATGCCACCAGGGCCCTTCTTGCTGTCTCACATCAACAGCATCTGTTTCCCCCAGATTGTCTACCTGTAAAGACCTGTTAGGTCTTAAATCTACACTTTATAGGGCTGGGACAGAGCCTGGGTATTAGTGTCTGAAACAGAGGGTCCAAGAAAAATAATATACACTTAATATACACTTTAATACAGTCAATTTCTTTACAGACTTACCTTTTTTTAACATGGAGTCTCTCTGGAAGAGTGATACACCATCTTCCCCAAACGCATAAGTTTGCATTTGACTGTTCTAAGATAAAAGTCAATATGAAGGGCCTTACTCTGCTAGACACTCTTTTCACTGTTATCCTCTCTTCATTACTTCTTTGCATATTTTTACATATCTGCTGATTTTATTTGTAGAGATCGTACATTTGTTTCCAAATAATCAATTAAGTGTCAAACAACTGGCTGGAGAACTGTCCCGCAGATAAAAACCAGAATCCCCAGCTTATAGATTGGGCAGTTTTCTGGCAGTATTTCCTTTCTTTCCTTTCCCACAGAGCTGGACTGTAAAAAATAGAAAAATCAGCTTCCAGCTTCCCTCAGCTTTCTCCCAAGATACAAGATGCTCTTAAGAATTTTAAGTTCTGTGTAGCATTGCACCATCATCTGATATACCCTGAACACAGGTAGGGACTTGCCAACAAGTTGGCAACAACATTCCTGGCTTTTGGGTTACATCCATCAAATCTCACTATCCTGTTTTCCATGATTCTGTTTCTTCTCTAATGAGGACTCACTAACGATTCTTGCTTGCCCCATGTCATTTTAAATCCTTTCCTTTAGCAGCTTGTTTTACATCCCAGACATCCCCTACAGCTCTCAGTCAGCAATTCCTGACAGCCAGTTCCTGCATCTCTCCCAGGTTAGTGCTCAGCTTGGTGACATGGCACCAGCTGCATCCTGGTGCAGAAGATCTGCTGCTTGCTTAGTTTCTTACAGCACCGTGTCCTCTGCCAGTGCTTCCAGATGTGTTATGTAGAAC